TATAGTGCAGGAAATAGAAGGAAATACTAGATTTCCTTCATGCTCCTTCCACGTCTACTGTTGCAAGGCATGGCTGCTTTCTGCTTGTTCCTAAATGGAATCCAGGCACAGAATATACAAAATTTCAGTCTATTGAAAAAGAGCAGTCATGCCTTTCTAGGTACATGTGAGGGTTTTGCCATTTAGGGGGGGATATTTTGGTTGTGGTTGGTTTGGTTGTGGTTTGTGTACTTGATTTGAAGTGACAAAACAGTGCATGTCTTCCTACAATAGCATTGCCTATAAAAATACACATGCAATTACTGACCTCATAGACCTCCTTCCTCTTTATGTACTGAGCACTCAATCGTAATACCCTAAAATTAATCATTACATTAACCCATGTCCTCTAAAAGACAAATACAAACCAACATAACTGCAGTCTCAAATACTTTGTGCAGCCAGCTAAGAAAATATCTAGTCTGGTTTTCTCTGCAGTTTCAAAGTGTTTGGAAACAAGGACTTGCCTTCCCTAATTTCTGGAGACAACATCCCACAGCATGTGAGACAATACTTTTTATCTTTGTCACTGTTAAAGCACAACAAACAGAAAGAGTTCCTCATCTCTTCCATCTTTGGATCAGTCTTGCAATACTCAACCACTGAATCCCCCAGATTAAGAGCTGAGCAGCACTGAGAAACTTGCACAAAAGAAAAAAAAAAGTAAGTTATTACTCAAATTTCTAGGAACTTGGCACAGTCACAAAGCAAGTTTCTTAATAACAAAAGATAACAGAGAGGCCTCCAGAACATTCTCCAAGCCCCCTTCTGGTAGAGAGGCTCAGGATAGATGGAACTTAAACCCTAAAAGCCAGCAAAGTTCATGCATGGTCAGGAAGGAAAAACAGCAAATAGGAGGTTTTCTGCAGTGTGCAAGAAGCTGAACAAACCTGTTCTATCTCTCTATTCAGAGTTGTACATCTTGTACTACATTTAGATTTTTTTAAAGGATAATAAAAATTAATCAAAATACAAGTTGGAAGAAATGGGGTTAAATTATTTTCAGCTAAAAATATACAGAGCTTATTCAGTAAAGTTCCTTGCTATTTTTAAGATTGATGGACACTTAAAAGGCAGAACAATTCCTAGCTATATTAACAGTCATTTCCCCCCGCCTAGCTGGTGCATCACACATGAAATGGCACATTTCCACTATTTGGGCTACCAGATCTTTAGACAGTAACAAAGGCACAAAGCACACAGGAAAAGGGCCATAGTTAGACAACACAGGCTGAGAAGCAAGGTGCTGTGTCAACACCAATACCCTTTCCCAGCAAATTTGTAGTCAGCATTTAGAACAGTATTCAGAGAAATACACTGACCTTTCAGCTCACCAAACATACTGCATTTAGTCCAGAAAACTTGAATGCCGAAACCACCCCACTTTTCTTTCAAAGTCATCCACAACACAACCCCACTAATGCTACTTCAACAACCACTCTTTGTAACTTCCTACCCACCCAACCCCAGCTGCTCCTTGTACAGCTATTACAAAGGTGAGGGCACTCAGTAATCGGCTAAACAAATCTTGCTGGTCATCCTCCCCCCCACATGCCTTCCTTGTCTTAAAGGTCTTGTCAACCAGCTCCTAAGACTACCTGGGTATGAGTTAAGAGGCTTTTGCTTCAAAGAAGCAGACTTAACCACCTAGATCAGTCAGATATCATGTATTAATACCATAAATGCTCATCTTTAATTTTAGAAGTAGGCAGTAATTCATAAAAATCATAGCAGTGAGATTTTTTCTAGAGTAGTCTGTTACCACTGGTTAAAACTATGACAACAGGCATTCATACATACTTATGAGCCTTGCCCCAATTTAGGATAGTAGGGAGATACAGATGACAGGATATAGGTTCTCTGAGTAGCCACAGTGTAATTAAGAAACTTCATGTATCCATGTACAAAATCAGCTTGTGAATGCTGGCAAGTTTTAGACCACATACACTGTACCTGCTCAGTAGTATTCCACCCTTTTTCCACAGCAGCATCAATATTCAACCTACATACCCAAAATTAGTTAGCAGCAAATAACTGTGGATGACAAAATACTCACAGGTAGAGTGGTGCATTTCCATTATCATAGTGGCTCTGTGCTCCAGATTGGTGTACGTTTATGAGTGACTACCCTGAGGACAATCCACCTCACCAGTAACAGCCTAGATAAAATGCAAGGGCAAAAGTTGAGAACAAGAAGTAGAGACTGCCAAAATTCAGAAAATAGAGCTTAGCAAAATACTTGTAGGCTCAGCTGTTGAGTAGCCAAAAATCAGCTGTGGAGAATGGTTCAGCTACACTCCCAGCATCAATGTTTGACCACACTGGGCTTACCGCAGGTCAGGTAGAAGGGATAGTTTGTTCAGCTATTGCTAACAGTTGTGGGATAATTCAAGTCCATATGTAGTAGAACTAGCAGTGAGATAAAACTCCCTGCAGATCTCCAAGAAAGCCCCATTTGTCACTGAAAGCTCTGCAGATACTAATGCTTATACAGGCTTTAGAATCCCTGAGTTATTTCTAATATTTTTTTTAATTTGCTCTCTTTCATAATACCATTTGATCTTTCTGGTTCTGGTTACCATATTTTTAAAATCTGGTCCATTCTGGGGCTTTACTTGTTGAAAGCTTCACCCCCTTTCTGCTACTTTTTAAGATCGTTTGGGTACAGAATGTGTTCTGAATAGTAACTGTCTACAGCTATATTAATTAAAGGTACATTTACATAAAGGTTTGGCATGATTATACAGGTTTCCCACTCTACCCTGCATGTATCTCTCTCTCTCTCCCCCCCCCCCCCCCCCCCACACACCCCCCCACATACCAAATTCTGT